ACACACACAAAAAAAAAAAAACAAAAAAAAAAGTAAGGCACATCCGCAGGTGCGCGGGCATGGGGGTCACTCGGCCGCACTACAGCGCACTGCCAGTGCGCGCTCAGTGCGCGCGGTGCGCACGTGCGCACACATCACCCGTGAGCGCATGGCGCACAGCGCAGCGCAGCGCACGGCGCACCGGTTAAGTGCGCCGCAAGTATGCTATGAACTAAAAGAGCGCAATTTTTGCAAAACAAACGGCAAAAAATAAAAATAAAAAAAAATTGAAGGGCACAGTGAAACCATTCATTTTTCTCATTCTTCTTTTGACTCCCCTTTCACCGTGCCTCTCACGTACACGGCTCGCCACGTTGATGAAGTTGAGCGCGAGCTGCCCCCATCCCCGTGTGCCATAACAGCCCACTTGTACGCTGTGAGAAAGAGGTAGAGTGAAGGGGGAGGGGACAAACACAGGGAGGAGAGATGGAGAGCAGACAAACAAAGAATGATAAAAGGGAAAGTAAGGGAAAGTATGGACTGTGGAATGAAGATGAAGGCAAAAGAGGATAAGAAAAGGCTCAAGAATGAGTCTGTCCTTGACGACAGAGAGGACATACATTGTAAGGATGACGTGGATGAACACATGGAAGACCTAGATGAACATTCTCAGTGCAACAATTGCCACGACGGGTGGCATTGAGCATGCCTGCCATACACCCCCGACAAATGGCATGTCGATTGCAGGCCAAAATGAAAGAAGAACGGTCCCCACAAAAGAGCATGCATTCAGCATAGCGTCCGTGGCCACAAAATGGACATATAGTGTCCGGATGCGGAGCCTGCAGTCAGGAACGGTGGGACAGTCCTCTGCACACATGGATGCAGAAACCATGTCATTGTAGAGTGAAGCGATGCTCATTTCTGAGCAGCGCACCATGGTTCTGGGGTTATCCTGACATTTCGAGACTCTGAGTTTAATAAACAGTATGAATACTGTGTGGTGACTATCATTGCTTCATTGTTTCCTGGATGTGATCTACTCGGCTTTCCTTTGTGACTGGTTGTGAGGATTCTGTGGAGCCCATTGCACTTTCAGTGTTTTCTGTCATATCGCATGGTCAAGTCTTCCGCTGTGTTTATCTCTCCCTGTGAAGTGTGATACTCCCTTCCTCTCCCCTTCCTTCTGTGTATGTATGGGCATACCTGGAAGTCTATGTGCGCGAGTGTTGGTCTTCTGACAACAAACAACCAGGATCATAACAAAGAACTGGCCGTTATAGCACATGGGGAGAAGGTATCGTGCGCTCAACTACTCAACGTGCCTTACACCTAAGAGGCATGATGGGGGGGGGGGGGCTAAAATAAGAAATACAGGAGAAACTGTGAGGAAAAATTCAGAAAATGCAAAATAAAGATAGAAATGCACAGGAAAACTATGTTGGGCCGTCGCCCGGCCCGGCACGCCCGGGCCAGTTGGGCAGAGGGGGGGTCGCCCGACAAAACCAGACGGGTCAAAAAAGAGGCAAGGATCCCAAAAAAAAAAAAAAGACTTCAGGCCAGGACTGCGCTTGGCCCAAGCAGTCAGAATCCGGTCTTAACTTCRGTTTTGGTGATGGGTCATCCAGGGGGGGTTGGGGGGTATAAACAGTGACTAAAGGGCTTAAAACTTAAAAGGGTGCATTTGGAGTCTTTTGGGACTCAGGTTTTCTCATTTATTTTTATCTTGAAATTAACAAGGAATTCCGAGGTGCCCTCAGCCAAAAGTCGTTTGTATTGCAATTTTACACAAGATTTTTTTTTTTTTCTATTTTTTAGAATATTATGCGCTGGGATCGCCCGGGACCCTGCCCAGGCCCTGCCCGGTCCGGGCCGCCTGGGAGGGTACCCGGGCGACCTTCCCCCAGCCGGGCCGCCCGGGGACTAACACAGCAGGAAAAGGCAAAAGAATGGTTTCAGAGTGCTTCATGCTGTATGCTAAGCCTCGAAAAAAAAAGACGAAGTGAGGAAAAAGAGAAAAAAAGAACTGCACAGCAAAAGGCAAAGAATGGTTTGTGTGCCTATGCTGTCTGCAATGTTATTTTGTTTGTTTCGCAAAGTGTGCTCTTTTAGTCGATAGATATGTGACAATACATATGTCTAGAGTACTGTATACATGTGTACATATACATACATACACATGTAGATGCACATACACACATATGTATATACATCCACGTCTATACATATGTACATATATGTAGCTACATGTATACTGCATATGAATACGTACGTATGTACACACTTGTCCATACATGCATGCACGCACGCACAGAAACATGTGCACATGCATGTACATGCATACATACATACGTGCATACATACATATGTGCATACACACATATAGCATTATACATACATACGCACAAGAGACATGCATGTGCAGGCCCACTCTTGCCGAGAACTGCTGACATGCAGGCAGATGTGTACATGCATGGAGAAGAAAGTCCATCTCTCATTTCTCAATCACAAGAGATGAAGATAAAGTCACGTAGTATGTACATACGATACAGGCAGAAGACATACATCCCAGCATACATTCAGATAGGTAGTCAGGCATGCATCAATCTTGGACGTGCAAAAAGATATATGAATAGCAAGCCAGACAACGCAAAGGGAAAGGTGCCGGAAGGAGACGTTGACATACAGGAAGATAGATGAACAGCGACGCAGACAAAACAAAGGATAGGATGCAAGATGGAAACATAGACGTACAAGGAAATAGATGAATAGTAAGGCAGATAACACATTGTCAAAGGATAGGATGGAAGAGGGTTAGATAGCATTTCTGCATGTGTGCTTGCTATAATATACAGGGGCATTAGGGGATGTAGAAAACACACCTTTGTGGAGGAGCAGACTGATCAGCAGTTTCTCGAGAAGGCGCAAATTCATACTGTGCGGGGCTTAAGAACTGCCGTGGAGGGTCTGATCGGGGAGGGCTTGAGCGTTGCCTTGGAGGTTCCGGTCGTGGTGGGCTTGAGAACCGCCTTGTAGTTTCTATGTGTGGTGGGGTTGAGAGCCGCCTTGGAGATTCTGATTGTGGTGGGCTTGAGAGCCGCCTTAGAGGGCTCGAGAGACGCCTTGGAATTGCTGATGACTCTCCGTTATCCGCTCCCCAGGTCCTTTGAACTGGTTCCATCGGGTTCCTTTGAGCTGGTGCTATCGGGTTTCTTTGAAAGACGTCCAGCAACGTATCAAAATTGGGTCGGTCTTTTGCATCATAGGCGAAGCATTTCCTGAGACACTCCTCCACCTCAGTGGGCAACCCTGCAGGGACTTGAGGTCTTTCCCTATCGAGCACCACACGCTTCTGAACTTCAAAAATTGATCTGGCGGAGTGAAAGGGTGGCTTTCCAGTGAACATGTCAATGACTGAGCAAGCAAAGCTCCAAACATCAGATGTTGGATGCAGAAGGCTATCGCCTGCACCCCACGCCTCGGGCGGCATGTAACAAGGGGTTCCTGCAATCTTACCGCTCACCAAAGTGGATGTGGCGCTCTCCTTCAAAAGTTTCGACAGCCCGAAGTCTGCCACAACTGCAAGAAAGCAATGACAGCAGAGCTGTCACAACAAGTCAGTTGCTCCTTTTGAATACTCGTCACACCTGTAAACTACTCGCCTGAATAGGCCACATCATCAGCTGCCACGTACCCCAGATAACATATCATCATCCATTGCTATCGATTTTTTAGTAAATTTTTATCATCATTATCAAATACAATTTCACATCCTCTTTCATGTATGTGGATCTCATGCATATGCAATCTACTATGAATACACAAAGACAGACAATGATGTGTATGAAATTACTATGAAATAGTATGAATTAGTATGAATCCAAAAAGACAAACAAAGAAGACAGACAAGCTCCAGAATTCACACAAGGAGTGATGCATCCGGCGACTTCTGGCTAAAAATCTGACAGCTATTCACACATTCAACCTGCACGTCCGGCGGCACATTCGGAACGGATATACTTTATGAATGCATATCTTATTATCTTCCGAAACTTCAGTTCTGAACAAAAACTAAATCAAGAGAAATCTGAAGAAGGACAGAAAATATTGTGCATGGCACTGCATGCACTAACTTTCGACAGCAGCTGAACTCAGCATTCCAAAGAAAAACTGCACCCCTTGGTTGAGAGTCTATTCAAGACATATTCACACATCTGGTCCCTTCTAGACCTAGGTCCGGACCTGATGCAGTTCGGAATGGTATCCAGGCTCAATGTGGCAAGTATACTCCAACGCCATCACCACGGTTACCTTCTTCTTCGTCCTGTGATTTTTCTCGCATGCGTGCAAGAACAGGAACCAAAGCTTCACAGAGTCCACACAGGTCCATAGTTTGGGAAGGTAAAAAGGCATCCCGACACAACCTTTACAAAATGAATCTGGGCGTTAATCCTGGTGAGCTACATCCATAGCAGCACTCACCACAAAATTACAGAGCCTACGATTCACTCAAAGAAATTCTCATCCCCTACTAGGCAAGATCAGTCAACAGTCAGGTACAGAGACTCGTCTGTGATCCAGATTCCAGACATATCATCAGAAACTGTCTTCCCAGGTATCACAGAATACAATCACATCAGCTTGTAGGATGGGGTTGCTCTTACCAGCACCAATAGCACTGGAGGGGGTTGTTGGGAAAAAAAAAAAAAAAAAAAAACGAATGGGGTTGGCAACTTGGCAGGACTTCTGTAGCATCTTCACCTGTGCCTTGAGTCTTTGCTGTTCATCAAGGGAGTGGCTGTTGTACTACCAAGGTGGTTAGCACCAGTGTACAAATTCTTCCTTCCCCTATTCCCTATCCCCTATCCCCTCCCCACTCCAACCCCCACCCCCAAGCGCTGGATCACCCGTCCTGCCAGGCAGAAATATATGTACAAAAGACCGCAATTGCTGACTGATAGCTAGTGGATGTTGTAGTACTAAATGTTGTTAGCACCGGTGAACAAGTTCTTCCTTCCCCTATCCCCTCTCCACCCCAAACCCCAACCCCAAGCCCTGCGCCACCTGTGCTGCCAGGCAGAAATATATCTGCAAAAGATCACAATTCCTAACTGATGGCTTTATTTATTGAGTTTCGCTGCTTTCGCTTTCGCAAGTGCCTCATTGAAAGAGAAGGAGATCGTACCCGCTGTGTCATAATCATCCACAAGGAAGTTTGCAGGCTTCAAGTCTCGCATTAGTATTCCTCGGCTGTGGAGCTCCGCCATTGCCCGGCAAATATTTGTGCCATATCTGCGATCAATGATCATGCAAAAAGCAAAGTTGCCCACTGGGTGTCAATAGATTCTTAATTTCTTAGTTGACTTTCCCATCCTTACCGCAAACATCCTCCTCCATGTCACCCCCCAAACCCCTCACCTGGAAGTTCCTTCCCTCTTTTATAACCCTCTTCCAGAGCTTTCACCATTTCTTGATTAGGTGTGTCGTCTTCGCATAGGCACCATAGATGCGGCGCACCAACATGCGCCGCACCGCGCAGTGCGCACGGCATGCGGGGCATGCCAAAATTACGGGGTCCACCAAAAAAATAAAAAACGTTGGGGGGTGGGGGGGGGTTGTAGGCCCACTAGGCACTTCGGGAAGTTCGTGCCGCCTGGTACCAAAAAAAAAAAAAAAAAAAAAAAGAACTCCAGTCACCTTGACGTGTTTGCGCAGGGGAAAATGAGAGAAGGGGGGGGCGTTTGGGCAGTGTGGGGAGCGTCGAGGCACCTAAAGGGGTAAGAAACGCCTGGTACCAAAAAAAAAAAAAAAAAAAAAAATGAGGGCATGGGGGGGCCCGCAAAAAAAAAAGAAAGCGGGGAGATCCAAGCGCGATGCGCGCACAACAGTGCGCATCATGCATCGCGCGTCAATGCACGATGCGCGCGCATCAGTGCGCATCATGCATCGTGCGTCAATGCGTGATGCGCGCACATCAGTGCGCGTGCCACCCGGGGGCGTGTGGCGCATCACGCAGTGCATAGATGCGCAACAACTATGATAGGCACCATTAATGCTAGTTTTCTCTATATGACTGCAATCTAAGCAGATCTTTCAGAACTTTCTGATTTTGTGATTTTCAGGAACTTCCTTTTTTTTTTTCTCCCAAAAACACACCAGCCCCTTCTCTTCCGCGGGGCAACAGTCCGGTTGCCTATTGATTGATTGAAGGGAATGCAAACAGAGCGTCACATCAAACCAGCGAGGTAATGAGAGATGAAAAAGACGAGTAAGCAAGCATATCCATAAGAGGGAGAAAGATACGGAAGGAGGAGAAAGAGGAATCCTAAGAGAGACAAAGCAGACACAAAAGGCCATAGAACGATGTATGTGCAGAAAAAACTACGATCAATTCATTCCCTTGCCAGTAGCGAAATCGTCAGGGGACGGCGAAACGAAAAGTGAAGAGGGGTCAGCCCAGCCCTTGCAGTACTAGTCACCTACTCAAGGGGGGGACTGGTACGAACCAACCCCCCCCCCCAAAACCATAGCCTTCCTAGGGGTCATCTGACGGCCAGGAAGCTTACTAGCAGCACCCAGTCACACATCAGGTGGGCCTTATGGAGGACAAGGCGCGGGGAAGGCCCTCCTAGCAGCCTCTCGGGCCGCAAGTCTCAAGTCTAGTCGTACCCATTCAAACAAAAAACAACCACTCAAAATAAAAGAAAAGAACAGCAGTCATCATTCCAACTATTCCTCTCCTTCGTACTACTACCCATCATCCCTACAGATACGTTTTTTTCTGTGCTCTCCTGCCGTTCCCCCTATCAACCACCAGGCTTTCCTTTCTCACCAATGGTCCCCAGCTTGCATCACCGAAATGACAGGGTTTTTTTTTTTTCTTGTTTTCGTTTTTTTTTTCGTTTTTGTTTTCGTTTTTGTTTTCGTGTGTGTGTGTGTGTGTGTGTGTGTGTGTGTGTGTGTGTGTGTGTGTGTGTGTGTGT